ATTCCTTGTTTCGGGCTTATCCACTTGGCATCCCCTCCCTTACTAGACAATGGCGGGGGCCTGTAAGGAGGAGGCTTTTCTGCCTTGGTAGGCTCGCATTTTCCACTAGATTCCCTGATCAATTGAGGCATCCTATACTTCATTCTTTCTTGCCTGTTTTGCCCCCTACTATCTATTGAAAATAATAGAGGGTCCGGCAACTCCACATCTAGGATTTCCACCAACACTGGCTGACCAGCTCCAGATCATTCCTTGTTTTTTCCTTTATCCCGTTTTTCCTCAAGCAAAGGAAATAGGGGAATAACTGGTTCTTTCTCAGGACTAGCCTCTATCATCACTTCCCTAGCATGACCATTTCTTGGAGTAGTGTACTCCAGATCTAATACTCTTTGCAAACTCCCTGTTAAAAAACAAAGTCTGCTTACTTCTCCTCTGGTTTCCAGAGTGATACTCTCCATAGTTTTCAATACTTACATCATAGTGGCTTGCAAGTCTTCATTAGTCACCTTCCTTCCTGACCTCTCGGATGAGCTTGGGTTTTCTAGAATAACTGGTCCTTAGAGGGAAGGAATCCTCTGGGTGATTTGTCATGCTTAGTTTTAGTAAACACTAGGGTGGCCCGTATTGTGTGTTCCATTCAAAGATTTTATCTTCATTCTTCTTCTTGGCATACAAGACTAAATGTATCCCACCAGGTGTGCCAAAACTATGTTCGGGTGAAGATTTCTCCGGAGAGGGCTCCTCGGACCTCAGCACATCTTCCCAAGGGATTGGCACTTTGGATGTGTAGTCAAGCTCTTGCTTGTTGATGCATTGCAAGAAGAGGACAGAGTTAGTTCTGAAATATGCCTTTATGCGGCTTTAGGTGTAGGCCTTGAGGCTCACAATCAAAACTAACTGAGTGCTAGGCGTGCCACTACTATCTCAGAATAGCAGACGTAGAACAAGTGTGTGTTTAGTCGATTACTTGCGCCCCAAGTTACTCGGACTTCTTGTTATCAAAGGATTGTCGTGGATGGGTTAAGTCCACATTAAGTTCTTTTTCTTGCCTTGTGACCAAGGACTTTCAGTTCATAGTCTTGTATGTTCGTATGAAGGGAGTCCAGATCCTCTTTAAGCCATTTAGCCATTTGCTTGGTTCTTGATTGATTTTAATGATTGTCTATCCATTAAACTAACCAGATCTAGATGCAAATAGGACTCTTAAAGTAGGACAACAGGTGGACATGACTTGAATACATATTGGGGAATGCATTACGTAATAGATCTACAAATTCAGAAAATAAACAAAGAGCTTCGGAAAAGATTTCACCTTGTCTGTCATGGTTGAACTTCTTGCGGTCACTTCTCTTTGTGATTACAGGGGTTTGTATGCTAAAAAAAGGGTGGGTAGTAAACAGGTTTACACAAGATAATCGATACTACGCCACTAAGGGAGATAGTAGAGCTTTTAAACTAGAGAGAAAGATAGCTTGTTGCTAAAAATGACTAAATCTGGGTTGATTTCAGTTTCTGGATGCAAATCTGGCTTGAAAGCAGAGTTTGTATGTTTATTTGTTTAATTAGTTAAGTGTCCTTGTCTCTAGGGCCTCTTTTTCCTTTTGTAGGCGAATTAGCCCAACTACTATGACTTCGCTTTTGCCCGAAAGCATTTGGAGGGTAGTAACTCATCATCTTTTTACTTGTATTGCCACAAAAAGTGCTTTTTGGCTGATTGTGAGTTAGTCTCCATCACTTGACATTCAAATCATGGACACATGGTCTATGCATTAATGGGGAGGTGCGAATTTGTCTCTGGGCCTGGTGCTGGGCTTCGGGCAAGTCTTCTTTTAACTGGCATCTCTGGCGTTCTTTATTCTTATAGCCTAATGTTCAAATATTAACCCAAACACTGTCCACAATATCTCAGCAGCCAAACAGACCTCAAAGATCATACAAACTAATCCAATCCCATAAACCACCTCAATTGCAAAGAAAATGATCATATTATCCATTCCAAAAGCAAACAAAAACCCAAATTAAGGAGAATTAGAGGAAGGGTTTCCATACAGTTTGTCGACGTCGTCGATCTCAAGCTTCTTCTTGGCACCCAGTGGTGGGATTCGCAATGTTAAACTAAAACAACCAAAAGAAATGAACGAACCGAAACGTCGATCAATGAAACAGAGAAAAGACGTTAGAGTTCGGGTTTGGAAAAAGTGAGACAGATCTAAACCTTCATGCTTGCTCCGCCGCCGACAACCAGGAAGAAAGAAATGCTCCGCCTGCTAAACCAATAGAATTGGACGAGATCTTGGCAGCTTGTTTAGGGTTTTGGGGGTTGAGCTTTGGTGGAATTTAAGGTCATCTCCAACAAAAGGATGGCTAAAGGCTCGTTTTAGCCCTATAGCCATCCAAGAAATTAATATTTTAATGAACAATGCCAAACCATATTTCTTACCATCTCTAACCAAAGGGTCAGATGACCATAGGCTAAACATAGCCCTGTGACAAAAAACCATCTCCAACCGAGGGGGCCAAAGGGTCATAGGGCCAAACATAATTTATTATTTTAATTTAAAAACTACAAGAACTTAAATTTAAAAACTACAACTTAAATTTAAAGTCTATAATCATCATCATCATCCACCATTGTAGGATTATAGTCGGAGGAGGTAAACAACTCCCATCGGGCCATAATTTTCTTCTTTTTCCTATCAAAATAGGCCTTACTCATTGGAGTGTAATCCAAAGTGTTCCTTTTGTTATTCCTATCATCTATCTCTTCTTGTATTTGTTTGGTCCGTTCTTCATGCCTACAGTTCCTTTCTTTTACGACAATGGCATTTTGCTCCGCCATTAATCGCAAAGAGGCTGCCATTTCCTGTTGAAAGGCGTAATCATCATTTGCCTTGCCTTTTTCCTTCAATTTTTAGGCCTTATTTCATCCCATAGCCCTAGGTATAGAACCTTCACCCATAGACGAATTTTCTACCCTTGTTTCTTGAATGGTAAGAGATCCAACTTCATCCCCATCTGCAATTAAGGATGCATTTCCGAACACTGGCGTAGGACCTACTCTTTGTTGAGGTAGATCTTCAAATAACACCCACCCTTTACAAATTTCCCAACAACCGTGATGATTAAAGGGTTTCGAATTGTCCTCCATATAGAATTCCTCCGCTTGGCGTACTTAGAAAATATAATTACAAAAATTATAGAAAATTAATTTATGAAATTAAATGTAATATAATTAAATATTTAAAATAAATTGTGAAAAACACTTACTTCGTCGTAGTAATTGGCACCGCTTGCATGTCTACTTGCGGCTGTTAATAGTGCTTTCCATTTATTAAAACTTGGATGAAGATGTTTTCTTTCATCTTGAAGAACAACTCTCGTGGTTTCAGGTATTCGGTGGAGTGGTGCCTTCGTAGAACTCATAGTATTTTTTGGACGTACGAGTCCAAACAGCTTCACTTGTTTGAGAACTCCCCCTCACACTATCTTTCAAGATCCATCTATAAACCCTGAAAAGAGCTTCATCTTCTTTTTGGGTCCAAGCCCTACCTTTCATTGCAGATGTGGCCATTTGAAAAATTATTGAAAAATTGAAGGAAAGATTAATGGAAGATGCAAGAAAATAGAATGTGAAGAATTGAAATATAATGAAGTAAGATAGTATGGAATGGTGAAAATTATGTGAGAAATGGTGTAGGAATGGCTTAGGTATTTAAAGGAAAAAATATGGGAATTTTTTTTAAAAAAATTTTAAAAACATTTTGTCCCAAAAAAACAATAATAATAATTCAAATCCAACTGTCACCTGGCGTCAGGATGACGTTAGCTAGTCGTTGCTAACTAGCATCATGCTGACGCTAGGTAGTCGTTGGTTTCAAATTTTTGGGCCGGCCCGAGGCTAGTTAGCTGGCTCCTTTGGGCCAGTCGGTTGGCCTATTTTCTCTTTTTTTTGGCTCGGTGGGGCCCACGAGCCCTTTGGCCTAGCCTTCGGTTGGATATGGTTGTCGTGTGATTTCAGGCTATTTTCGGCCCTCTCTGGCCGAATTGGTTAGAGATGGTCTAAATATGCGAGAATGGTTAGGGTTCTTATGTGGTGTTATGAGGGACTGATTGTATGTCTTAATTTGTTTTACACCGTACATTTGTTTTACACCGTACATGTCACTGGTTGAACTGATGGACGAGCGGAGGCCTAAAAATTAGGCTGGGTTGCTATCAACTATCCAAGACTGTATTGGGCTCATGCTCTTTAGAAGAGTATGGATCTTAGGTCATCTCCAATGAAGAGAGCTAAAAGTTAAAAAGTAACCTGATTTGACAAAAAAATCACCTCCAACTAATGACTGGACTATAATCCTATAGGGCCCATTAAACCATTATTTGGCTAAATGGTCATCAGGCTTACCAAATGTAGCCCTTCTTAGGCCATCTCCAACCTAAAATGCTATATTTAGCCCTGCAAGAAATTATTTTTTAATGAACAGTGTCATGCCATATTTATATATCGTCCCCAACCAAAGGGGGCTATTTTTTAGCCCCTCAATAATGTATTATTTTAAAATTGTTCTTTAATTTTATTAGTTAATTAAATTAAACTACCATATATTAAAATAAGATTTCTGGACATATATTGAGTGTCGCTTGTTACTAAATGAATAAGCCTCCAGATTTTTTATCTTTATATAATCTTAATAATTTTTCGGATATGATTTCGAGTGATACGTGTTGCTAAAGTGAGTAACTCTACATATTTCTTATCTTTATGTAATCTTAATAATTTTTCAAATAGGATTTTCGAGTGTCATGTTATAACCGATTCCTACTTTTCTATGTGAAATATTCCATTCAGTGATCTTTGGTGCTTGTAAAGTTAGACATATAGTCTTTAAATTTAGGTTTATGTTCAATCTAATCGTGCTAGTGTAATTACTGTTAAGCTTCATTTCTCCTGTTACTATTGCAGCCGTGACTGCTTTTAATAAGTTATTTTGTAGGTCCTAGTTGAGACTTTGAATAGTTTGAAGCTTTGTTGAGATACCTGGTAAATTGCTTATTCGCAAAACTATGTTTGGCAGGATGCTGAACCAAATGACAGGAAAATTGGGAAACTTTGTGATTATGCTATGAAGAACCCACTGCGAATTCCCAAGGTAATGCCTTCTTTATTTTTTTAATGTTTTTCGAGGCAGAAGATTTTCTTTACTTACATTGTCTTTTTAGATAGTGTTGATATTGGATTTTGAATAGCTCTTTGATGAGTTTGGTGTAGAGTTCAAAGTTATTCCATGATTTTTTCTAATTCATACTGTTTTCCATCCAATAACAAATGTTGATTTTATTTTCTAGAGCTAGTTATATTTATGATAAGCTCGAATCTTTTCCAGATGTTAATTTTGGTTCATAAACTGTTTGAAATGGCACTAACCTCAGATGTGAAGACAATTTTTTGATTTTCAAAATTTCAACATTGGCCGATGTTAATTTTGTTTTGTGAACTGTTTGAAATGGCATTAACTCCAATATGAAGACAATTTGTCTGTTTTAAAATTCTGTTGTGATAGGAAAAATCATGTTTATGTCCAATTCTATAATTTTTCTTTAAGTGCATACCTATAAAAGAAATTCTTCCTATACTCCATCTCATGTGTTTCCATTTTCTCCCCACAGATCACTGATAGCTTGGAGCACGATGTTACAAGGATTTGCGAAATGAGCACTTTGGATCTGTTACAGTGGTGCTATGCATTTATAGGAAGCTGTTATCTTCATGTAAGGAGCAAATGTAAGTCTGAAGTGGCTTAATCTTATAACAGGATTGGGATTTCAGCAAGGGAAGTTTTTAAATGATGAAAGATAACCTTTATTTCTTGAAATAGAACTGTTACCGTACACTGTGGGAAACTGTAGTTTTTGGTCAACAGCATCTGAGATCGGATGGGTTATTTTCCAACTTGGATTGATAGATCAATCAAATTGGTCTTACTGCTTTGCATTATCTAATAGATCTAGAACAATGCGTGTTTGATTGCACTGTTCAATTTTTTTGTCCTTTAGCCCTTCATTGATTCTAACTTTCAGTCTATTCATTACCACTCGTGTTTTCTTGTGGTCCATTTTTTCATGAAGCAATTCAGTAAGTTTATTTGATGCAGAGTAATATCTACTTTTTCTGCATCAATGGGATTCCATGGCTAGTTGTATCCGAAAAGTAGCAAAAGAGGTATTAGGAGAGTCCAAGGGCTTTGCCCCACACCAAAAGGAATCTTGGTGGTGGAATGAGGAGGTACAAACAAAGGTGAAGGCTAAGAAGGAATGTTGTAAAGCCTTATACAAGGAGAGGACTGATGAAAATGGTGAAAGGTATAGAAAAGCGAAGCAAGAGGCGAAGAAAGCTGTCAGAGAAGCTAAGTTAGCGGCTTACGACGATATGTATAAACGACTAGATACCAAAGAAGGAGAGTTGGATATCTATAAACTATCTAGAGCAAGGGAAAAGAAGACAAGGGACCTAAACCAAGTGAGGTGCATCAAGGATGAGGATGGAAAGGTTCTTGCTACAGAGAACGCGGTTAAAGACAGATGGAGAGGTTATTTTCATAATCTTTTCAATGAAGGACATGAAATGAGTGCTTCTTTAGGGGAGTTGAGTAACTCAGAAGAGTGTAGAAACTACTCTTTTTATCGTCGAATCCGGAAGGAAGAAGTGGTTGTAGCTTTGAAGAAGATGAAGCATAAAAAAGCAATAGGCCCAGACGATATACCAATCGAAGTGTGGAAACTTTTGGGAGAGACAGGTATAACATGGCTCACTGACCTTTTCAATAGGATTTTGAAAACGAAGAAGATGCCAAATGAGTGGCGAATGAGCACTTTGGTGCCTATCTACAAGAATAAGGGCGACGTACAAAATTGCATGAACTATAGGGGTATTAAGCTAATGAGTCATACAATGAAGCTCTGGGAGAGAGTCATTGAGCATAGATTGAGGCAAGAGACACGGGTTTCGGACAACCAATTCGGGTTCATGCCAGGGCGCTCAACCATGGAGGCAATCTATCTCTTACGAAGATTGATGGAAAGATATAGAGATGGGAAAAAGGATTTACACACATGGTCTTTATAGATTTGGAAAAAGCGTATGATAGGGTCCCAAGAGACATTCTTTGGAGGATTTTAGAGAAGAAAGGAGTACGAGTAGCATATATCCAAGCTATAAAGGATATGTATGAAGGAGCAAAGACTGCCGTAAGAACTCATGAAGGACAAACCGAAAGCTTTCCCATAACTGTAGGATTACATCAAGGCTCATCCTTAAGTCCTTACCTTTTTGCGTTGGTAATGGATGAGTTAACACGACATATTCAAGATGATATTCCTTGGTGTATGCTTTTCGCAGACGATATAGTGTTGATAGATGAAACTCAGGAAGGGGTAAATGCAAAGCTTAACCTTTGGAGAGAAGTGTTGGAATCTAAAGGTCTTCGCCTAAGCCGATCAAAGACAGAATATATGGAGTGCAAGTTCAGTGCAAATGGAGGCCAAAACGAGTTAGGGGTGAGGATCGGAGATCAAGAAATACCAAAGAGCGACCGTTTTCGTTACCTAGGATCTATCTTGCAAAAGAACGGAGAATTAGATGGAGATCTCAACCATAGAATACAAGCTGGATGGATGAAGTGGAAGAGTGCATCCGGCGTGTTGTGTGACCGTCGTATGCCACTGAAGCTCAAGGGAAAATTTTATAGGACGGCAATAAGGCCGGCGATGCTGTATGGCACAGAATGTTGGGCGGTGAAACATCAACACGTACACAAAATGGGTGTAGCGGAGATGAGGATGCTTCGTTGGATGTGTGGGCACACGAGAAAGGATAAGATTAGGAATGAGGATATCCGGGGTAAAGTAGGAGTAGCCGAAATTGAAGGAAAGATGAGAGAAAATCGGTTACGGTGGTTTGGACATGTGCAAAGAAGGCCTACTGACGTTCCGATTAGAAGATGCGACTATGGGACAGAGGTTCAGGGCCGAAGGGGTAGAGGAAGACCTAGGAAAACTTTGGAAGAGACTCTAAGAAAAGACTTAGAGTACTTGGATCTAACGAAGGACATGACACAGGATCGAGCACAATGGCGTTCTAAGATTCATATAGCCGATCCCACTCAGTGACTTGGATTTTCCAAGTCTCCAACCGAGAAGTTTTCCTCATTCGGGAAATTAAGAGAACACTACCCCAACCTACATGCTCCACTCAGAAAGCTTCAACATACAAGCTTTAACAAAAGAAAATTCAAAGAACTTAGCGAAGAAGGCTTTGGTGTATTTAACACAATACGTTGAAATGAAGGAAAGCTTATTTATTGATATCCCCGATAAGCTACAAATATGTACATATACATGAGTCAAAATAAGCACAACAAGAGGGAGCCTTCACAAAGGTTGCTTAGGAGAAGTCTCAGCAGTCGGTAGAGCCCCAGAAAGAGAAGGCACCGGAGGGGGATCATTTGGAGCCTCAGTACTGGACAGAACCCTAGAAGGAGGAGGCATCAGAGGTTGATCATTTGGAGCTTCATTACGCGGTACAGCCCCAGAAGACGAAGGCAATAAATGCCTTTGGAACAAACCCACAAATCTCTGATGATCAAGTAAAACCTGACCATCAGTTTTCCTTCATCTGGTCAAGCTTCCTCTTCATGTTTGTAGCATAGTCATGTGCGAGCCGGTGCAACTGTTTATTCTCATGCTTGAGCCCTCTAATCTCCTGTTTGAGACTCATCACTTCAGCCGCCAATGATTCAACTTGGCGGGTTCGAGCAAATAGGCGTTGGGCCATATTAGACACAGAACCTGCACACTGAACACTGAGAGCCAGCGAATCCTTAACAGCTAACTCATCAGACCGTTTGGAAAGTAGTCTGTTATCTTTGGGAGTGAGAAGGTTCCTGGCCACCACCGCAGCGGTCATATCATTCTTCATCACGGAATCCCCAACGGTAAGAGGACCAGTAGGGGAGACGAAGGATGGGCGCCATATATGTTGTCTGGAGAAGGCGGGGTTGCCTCTTCAACAAGGTTCAAGTCAAAACGACGGTCGGAGGGGCCAGACATTTTCAAAGGTGTTGAAAGAGAGAAAGAGGTCGGACAAATCAAGATCTTAGAAGTGCAAGAATGAAGCTTCTACTGGTGGAGATTCAAGTGTGCTTTGGAACTTAATGCCAGCCCCTATAAAAATCTGCACTCGACGAAGCTTCAGAAATCGAAGAGGCGCCTGCTCAGAAATCGAAGAGGCGTTTGCTTTCTCAAAAGCTGGGCTGCTTAGAGATCACGAGGGTTGATCTCAGAAATCGAAGAGGCGTTTGCTTTCTCAAAAGTTGGGCTGCTCAAAGACCACGAAGGCCGATCTCAAAAAATCGAAGAGGCGCTCGCTTTCTCAAAAAGCTGGGCTCCCCAGAGACCACGAGGGCCGATCAGAAATCGAAATCGAAGAGGCACCTACTTTTCCAGCCTTTTCCAGCCTTGTCAGCACCTGTCACACGCACACTCAGCTTTTGCGGAAATTTATGGGCATTCTGTCAAAGACTTTCTGGGGAAGTAGAAAACACATGAATCTTACTGTTCAATCACCCACTTCCCACACGCAACAATAGCTCATGGGTACCACAGATAACTTTGCCAAAGTTCTCTGCCAAAGTTGAGCACACGTGAAGCTTGCAGCTCCCACTACATCGCTCTGACCAAGAAGGGTAAAAGAATAGCAAAGAAACAGCACTAACAAAGTTTAGACCCATAAATTTTGAAGGTCTAGCTACCATATTATTACCCACAAGGGTAAAGGAACAGTACCACTGCTGGATAATTGGAAAGTCCCTGTGTGTCAACCTCTGTGCTTCGTGGCAAGGTAGACTAGCAAACATGCCCAACCTTTACTCACATTCGAGAAAACACTCCCAATAAGATTGCTTGCTCCAAAATCGAAGAGGCACCGTCCTCCGAATCTCGAGAGCCAGACTCCCAACATGACTACTTTCTTAAAAATCGAAGAGAGGGTAAAGGAACAGTACCATTGCTAGATAATTGGAAAGTCCCTGTGTGTCAACCTCTGTGCTTCGTGGCAAGGTAGACTAGCAAACATGCCCAACCTTTACTCACATTCGAGAAAACACTCCCAACAAGATCACCGCCCTCCGAATCTCGAGAGCCAGACTCCCAACATGATTACTTTCTCAAAAATCGAAGAGACACTGCTCCCCGAATCTCGAGAGCCAGACCCCCAGCATGATTGCTTTCTCAAAAATCGATGAGGCATCGTTCTCCGAATCAATCGAAGAGGCGCTCGCTTTCTCAAAAGCTGGGCTGCTCAGAGACCACGAGGGCCGATCTCAGAAATCGAAGAGGCACCTACTTTTCTAGCCTTGTCAACACCTGTCACACGCACACTCAGCTTTGCAGAAATTATGGGCATTCTGTCGAAGACTTCTGGTGAAGTAGAAAGCACATGAATCTTACTGTTCAATCACCCACTTCCCACACGCAACAATAGCTCATGGGTACCACAAATAACTTTGCCAAAGTTCTCTGCCAAAGTTGAGCACGTGAAGCTTGCAGCTCCCACTACATCGCTCTGACCAAGAAAGGTAAAAAGAATAGCAAAGAAACAGCACTAACAAAAGTTTAGACACATAAATTTTGAAGGTCTAGCTACCATATTATTACCCACAAGGGTAAAGGAACAGTACCACTGCTGGATAATTGGAAAGTCCCTGTGTGTCAACCTCTGTGCTTCGTGGCAAGGTAGACTAGCAAACATGCCCAACCTTTACTCACATTCGAGAAAACACACTCCCAACAAGATTGCTTGCTCCAAAATCGAAGAGGCACCGTCCGAATCTCGAGAGCCAGACTCCCAACATGACTTACTTTCTCAAAAATCGAAGAGAGGGTAAAGGAACAGTACCATTGCTGGATAATTGGAAAGTCCCTGTGTGTCAACCTTTGTGCTTCGTGGCAAGGTAGACTAGCAAACATGCCCAACCTTTACTCACATTCGAGACAAACACTCCCAACAAGATTGCTTGCTCCAAAATCGAAGAGGCACCGCCCTCCGAATCTCGAGAGCCAGACTCCCAACATGATTACTTCCTCAAAAATCGAAGAGACACTGCTCTCCGAATCTCGAGAGCCAGACCCCCAGCATGATTGCTTTCTCAAAAATCGAAGAGGCATCGTTCTCCGAATCTCGAGAGCCAGATACCACAGACCACTTTTTCAAAGTGCTCTGACAGAGTTAAAACATGTGAAGCTGGCAGCTCCCACTACCGTGCTATGACCAAGCAGGGTAAAGGAATAGCATTACTTACTTGTTGTTAGGGAGACTCCTATATATGTCGACCTCCATCCCCAACGGACAGGCAGACCTGCAAAAATGCTCAACCCTTCCTCATTATCTGAGAGGGCACTCCCAACGAAGCCTTTCGAAATATTCAGCTTTCTTTCCCCCCGATAATACCTCTGCAAACAAGCTATACTAGAGCAAGAATATCTCATATCATCAGGGTTAAAAGCAAGAGTATCCCATATCATGCTTTTTCCCTGTCTTTTCCTTTGGCCTTGTTTTTACCTGCAAGACAAGGAGAAAGAGAGCAATCAGTCAGCACTTGGAATCAAGCTTCCAGCCAGGAACTGACTGCCTGGAACCCCTTACCTGATTACTTACCTGGCATTGCTCTCGAGTACTCATCTTCAACATCTTATGCTTCCAGGGAAGATACCGCATCTGCCTGAGGAACAGATAGGGCAAGTGAGAAGGATACAAGGAAGCATGTGGAGACAAGCGTAACAGCACACGTGCCGATACATCCATTACTCTGTCAAAAGCAAAAGTATCCCATATCAGCAGGGTCGAACGTACTCTAGATTTGATGGACTTGTTTTGACCCTCAAATTCTTCAGTCGGCCTTATACTCTGGAGGAAACCAGAAAACCCTCCAGCTCCAGTTCAAGAATAAGCCTGTGGAAAGTTACTTCTTCAAAAGCAAAAGTATCTCCATATCATCTCTTCTCATTTTTTTCTTCTCTTTATCCTTCATGCTGCCTGCAAGATAGGGAGAATGGTGAACAATCAGTCCGGAGCTCTGATTGCTTACCTTGTCTGTCACCTCTTTCAGCAGATCCCCTAGCTCGGCGACTTGGGGGACTCCTACTACATGGTTTGTATCGCGCTTGACCAAGCCTGAAACTACAAGTAAGCTTCAAGTGAAATTGATACATTACCTTGTGCATCTCCACCAGTTAAAGATACCACCCCTGGATGGAGGAAGAGTACTTCCAGAGAAGATGCCACATCTACCTATGAGACAGATAAGGCAAGTCAAGACGATACCACACTCCGATACTTAGAAGTTTCGTGATTACGAGATCATTCTCCCACAATATTTCCTAATGTCATTTGTACTAAATCATTCACTTGTACTCACTAAAGGAGAGCTTGAACCTATGTACTTGTGTAAACCCTTCACAATTAATGAGAACTCCTCTATTCCGTGGACGTAGCCAATCTGGGTGAACCACGTACATCTTGTGTTTGCTTTCCTATCTCTATCCATTTATATACTTATCCACACTAATGACCGGAGCAATCTAGCGAAGATCACAAAAAGCGACCGTTTTCGCTACCTAGGATCTATCTTGCAAGAGAACGGAGAATTAGATGGAGATCTCAACCATAGAATACGAAGCTGGATGGATGAAGTGTAAGAGTGCATCCGGCGTGTTGTGTGACCGTCGTAGGCCACTGAAGCTCAAGGGAAAATTTTTATAGGACGGCAATAAGGCCAGCGATGTTGTATGGCACAGAATGTTGGGCGGTGAAGCATCAACACGTACACAAAATGGGTGTAGCGGAGATGAGGATGCTTCGTGGGATGTGTGGGCACACGAGAAAGGATAAGATTGGGAATGAGGATATCCGAGGTAAAGTAGGAGTAGCCGAAAATTGTAAGGAAAGATGAGAGAAAATCGGCTTCCGGTGATTTGGACATGTGCAAAGAAGGCCGACTGACGCTCCGGTTCGAAGATGTGACTACGGGACAGAGGTTCAGGGCCGAAGGGGTAGAGGAAGACCTAGGACAACTTTGGAAGAGACTCTAAGAAAAGACTTAGAGTACTTGGATCTAACGGAGGACATGACACAAAACCGAGCGCAATGGCGTTCTAGGATTCATATAGCCGACCCCACTTAGTGGGAAAAGGCTTTGTTGTTGTTGTTGGTTATATGTACATGTTACACTTCATTCTCTGAGCCTCAGGACTCTGTTGGTTAATTTGGCATCTGCACTTACATCTTTTCTAGAAGATTACAAAGCATCATATAGCCCTTCTGTACATCGTTGTTGCCCTAAACCTTCTGAGTGTTTAGGACTTCTGTTGCGACAAAATGCACTATGTATTAGTTTCCGAAACCCCATGTGGATTCTTTTCAGTACCATGTTTGTGATTTAGCTTATGCATCAAGAAGGAAGGCATCACTCATATGCTTGTCCTGATATTTATATTTTTATTGTGTAACTAAAAAGGGCCATGTATCTTAACATTTTGAGTTCTAATATGCTTGGTTTTTTATGACATTCACCTTTGCTCTTCAATGGTTACAGGCCACTATTTGCCAGTAGTTTACTAGGAATTGTCCGGATTCTTTTGGAACAAACTCGACATGATGAAATGCGGATTCTGGGTTGCAATACTCTCGTCGACTTTATACAAAGCCAGGTAAATGATAAATACAAAAAGTTTGCAACATTGTATGCTGAGTTATATAGGCTCTAGGTTTAGCTTATGTATGCCATACCAATATACCATTGATCCTGCTCTACTTTTCCCATTGGTTGATTGAAACTGACATATGGAAATATATGTAGACTGACAGTACGCACATGTTCAGCCTAGAGGGCCTTATTCCTAAACTTTGTCAAATGGCTCAAGAAGTGGGAGATAATGAAAGAGCTCTACGATTACGTTCATCTGGACTGCAATCTCTGGCTTTTATGGTACATTCTTTTTTTTCTAGCCCAGCTTTAGTGGAATTGCGAAGTCTTGTATACATGCGTGCATGTTTACATTCAGATTGGATATTCTATTATTTTATCTCGAATGACAATCACTCGAAAAGTACCCAAGCATTTGTATAAATGTGACATTTATACATCCAGACTGAAATTCATGACATTAGTAGTTATGTTTTCATGTCAACTCTCTTTACATTTACTTTTTATTTTAAAAGTACATAAATCTCATCCTGTGATTTTCACTTTTCCCTTATTCTCTGTTGTTATTGTTGAAGTATACTGTAATTAGCTTTCAAACAAAGTTAGATTTCCTAGTTTGTCTAGAGGGTGATTTGGTTGTCCTATTATCATTAAGGTTGTACTATATTTAAAACTTTTTAGATTTATGCCTAATTATTCTCACTTTGATGAGAGTAGACTGCTTGCATATTTTATTATTTGTTTTACTAATTCCTCCGATTATTGTGGGCTTTTTATATATGTATTATTTGATATTTTGACTTGCCAGTTATCATCTTTTTTTTTCATCAACCGTATTTTTTTTTCTTCGGTTTAGTGTCAGCTTTGGTTAATTGCCTTAGAAAGCCTATTACATTATATCATACATTATGATTTCTCCTCTCTTTGTACTGCATTATTATTTTTTGCAGGTGTGGTTCATGGGTGAGCACTCTCATATTTCAATGGACTTTGACACTGTGAGTAGGCTGAACCTTGTGTGGCTCTTGTTATTTTTATTTTTGACTTAAGCAACAAGTGAGAGCTTGGCTACTGTGAAGAGTAATAATTTTCTAATTAATCGCTACGCTTTATGAAGTATAATCAATATTGAAACATGTCCACTGCGTTCAATTGACTTTTTTTATGAATTTGTAACTTTTCCTGTTCTGGAATAGATCATATCAGTGACTTTGGAAAACTATGCGGATATCTATACTAAGCCTGTAAGTCTGAAGGAAGACAGACGATATTCTGAGTCTCAGGACCAGTGGGTTAATGGAGTGCTAAAAGCAGAAGTTCATGATTCATCTTTTCCTGTTATTAGTCAGAAGGTTACTTCACTACCAAGTCTGGAAAACCCTGATTTGGATCCCACAATGTTAGTTCTTTTTTTCTTGTAGTTTCTTTTATGTGGTGCTAGGAAACAGTAAATGTTGTCTTAACATTATTTGATTTATGTGCCATTGTCTCAGTGATACCAACAAGAGCCCCTCTTACTGGTCTAGGGTTTGCTTGCGTAACATAGCAAAATTGGCAAAGGAAGCTACTACAGTGCGTCGAGTGCTTGAGCCGCTTTTTCAAAGTTTTGATGCTGAGAACCATTGGTCCCCAGAAAAACCACTTGCCTATAATGTTTTAATGTATATGCAGTCACTTTTAGAGGAATCAGGTTTGAAATTTTTTGCATCCTCATGTTTTCCCCCCCTATAACAATCCTTTTGTTGATGTAAATATTTGTTGTTTGCTTGAAAACCAGGAGATAATTCCCATCTGTTATTACATATATTGGTCAAGCACTTGGATCATAAGAATGTTGTCAAACAACCTCGCCTACAAACTGATATTGTTAATGTCACCACACAAATAGCACAAGGTGCAAAGCAGCAGGCGTCGGTTGCGATTACTGGTGCAATATCTGATCTGATTAAACATTTACGAAAATGCCTGCAAATTCAAGCTGCTGTATCAAGCCCTAGGAGTTTAGATAAAGGGAACCCAGATCTCCGATCGGCACTTGAAAGATGCATCTCGCAGTTATCAAATAAGGTTGGTCTTTTTCAAGCCTAGATTTTAAATTGAGTATTACAGAATTTTATGAATATTTTGTAATAATCTTCGTGGATACTGAAATGAATGGTTTGAAGAAATTTCTTGAGGTATGTTTTTTATTGTTGTTTGTTCTCTTTCTCTCTCTCTCAGTGATCAAATGGTGATAGTAGGTTACACAATGAAGTCATGGCTTCAACATTTTAAAATACCATGGCATTTTAGTCTGTTCAATTGGTGAGCAGTTTTAAGAATGGTAAAAGAACTTATTATGATGATGTGAAAAGAGAAGATTATCCTATTGTGAAGTGTCTTTTGGTCATATTGAGTGTGTCCTTCGCAGAATTTTAAAAAGTTAGTTCTTTGTAGTTTAACCTGAAATTTCTTTCGTTTGGGTGATTTGAAAGGAAGGGAAGAATTAATCCTTCCCTTCTACTGTTTGGTCGAGAAAAATTGGGAGAGAAGCGATCTTGTTGGGTTTGACATATGTGCATTTTCTAATCCTCCCCAAGCTGAGGGATTTAAGAAAGACAAACCATATTCTAAGTCTCAGGACAACTGTACCAAGGACGGTTAGAGAAAAGGCTCACGATTTATCTCTGCAGGTTTAGCTTTTTGGTAACATTGTGGAATTATCAAACCTAATGTTGAGTCAGAAAAAAATAATAAAGAATTGGATCAGAGAATTGTACCTGGACTCAGTGATCTTCCTAGACTTTCAATTTTTCTTCCAAATACAATAGTTACGAACAGTCTTAGCTTCTATATGAAAGAAGATAGGCACCTGCACAAGGCACTCCGATGCTCAAGTAGTGTTTACAAGTGAGATTTTAGTGATTATAAGGTTCTGTTTTGCATACCTACATTTTTGTATTCAATTCCTATATGAAGGATTGCCGAGTATCTTGGTGCCGCGTCCCCATGATCCCATTTCTAAGCTCATGGATCCTAAAAATTCTTGGCTGGTTTTGGTTCTGATAGAATATTTTTTGGAAGTATAACTGTACAAGGGGGGAGGAAGTTTGTGTTTAACAATTTTTTTGGGACAAAGTTTGCTTTTGGTCATCTTATGGGCTCTTGTTTCCTGACTGGTCTTTTTGTGCTATTTATTCGGATTGTAATGCTGTCATTTTGCAATTTTGTTTAATTGTTTTGCTGTCATGTTTTTGTCTTAGTTTAGATGTAGGAAAGTTGGCCGAAAGTGCGTCAGTTTTGGCGCTACAATACAAAACAAAACATAAACATGGAAATTAAACAGATTTTAGTAGGTTACTGCTCATGTAAAGTATGTTGTTACTTTTTATGTGGTGCATTCATTATACTTTTTTCCCTTTACTTCTCGGACCATTTTCTGCGTGTTACACTAGTAATGCTGTTTCTGGTTCACAGGTTGGAGATGTGGGACCCATACTTGATATGATGGCTGTGGTGCTAGAGAATATTTCAACTATTACTGCTGTTGCTAGGGCGACAATCTCTGCTGTTTATCTAACTGCAAAGATAGTCTCTACTGTTCCTAATGTATCATATCACAAGAAGGCAAGGCCACTCTTTTAAATTGCACTGGACTACTTTATATCATCATGTTGAACTATCTAACTGTTGTTATAACCTGTTCAGGCTTTTCCTGATGCTCTATTTCACCAATTACTCCTAGCAATGGCCCACCCAGACCATGAAACACGAGTTGGAGCACACAGCATTTTCTCTATGGTGCTTATGCCTTCCCTACTTGCTCCTTGGTTAGAGCAGAAAATGAACCCTCTGCAAGCTGTTTCTGCATCTGTTAGTACATTGCAGAAGGTAAAGGAGGGAAGTTTCTCCCTTCAGGATGAAGAGAAAGATGCAGTAGTACCTTTGAATGGAGAACTGAGGGAAGAAGGAAGTAAAATATCATCAGATGTCTATGAGAAACAATCTGGTCAATCTCACAACTTCAAGAGTGCTATGACTTGTGGAAGAACAGTATGAGATCTCAAACTCATTATTTCAGTTTTAGTTGTTAAGAGCTGTAAATTCAGTGTTTTAATTTAAGTATTTAAATAAATCTAATCAAATGTCTTTTCTGAAATCTTACAGGATCTAACATCCCTTCGGTTAAGTAGTCACCAAGTGAGTCTTTTGCTTTCATCAATCTGGGTTCAGGCAACATCTGCAGAGAATACCCCTGAGAACTTTGAGGCAATGGCCCACACTTATAACGTCGCGTTACTGTTTACCCGATCAAAGGTGAGATTTTGCCTATAAGTCAATACCGTTTCTCTATCTTTTTAGCTGGTGCACATCTTGATCGGTATAACCCAGCTTTGTTTTATCTTTGTTATGTTCGCAACCTAAGAATATCCAAGTTGACCCACCAAACTTTTTTACACTTAGAAATCCAACTTTTCCCTTCCTAGTGAGTTTACAATTAGAAAGTACCATGGAGTGATTTTGGAGAGAGTTCTACAGGGAAGCTGTAAAGTGGATTTGAGGTTTTCATCTAATTTTAACCTGATGTCGCTGATAGACTGAAAATTCTTCAATTTTTACCCCTTGGCATTTCTTAACTCTCAATGATGATTTCTTTTGCTTTTGGTCTTGCCAGGCCTCCAGTCACGTGGCTTTAGTAAGATGTTTCCAGCTGGCATTTTCTATTAGAACTATTTCCTTGGATGTAGATGGTAAGTCAGATTTATCATTATCTGATAACAAATTATTCAGTGCTTATGGATCATAATGGTAACACTATAAAATGCAAGCAGGTTGAATCATAATGCTAAAACTATAAAATGCAATTAGGTTGAACTTGTGTGTTGATACACTCTTGAATCACCCTATCCTTTTCCTGGTCCCGACTAGGCAGATTGGTTTTGTGCTAGAGCCTAGAGTACATCCTCGTTTTAGTTTATTAGTTTTGAGTTTCTTCCTTTGTGATTAGAACAATTGAGTTTAAGGTTAGTTCATTACAAAGGGTTTGTACCAATTCGGTGTTTACCAAGAAATACATCTGCTCAATGCATGGCTGGTAAATCGAAGGGTAATGATTCTAGGCAAGTTGTATTCTTTAAATAAGTAACGTGACTTTTGAGGGATAAGAAAAAGTGCATCACTTATTTGTTTGCCTAACTTTATCCTTCCGTGATTCATAAATTTCCATCGATGAGAATCTTATTGCAAATTGAAATCTAATAATATTTGATTTTATCAAAAAATTAAGATATCAGGATATGGTACAGCCCTTCACATGTAGGTGCCAATACTCCATAGTTGGGCCTAACATGTGCAGTTTCAAACAAGATGTGAGGTTTTGAAATTCAAACATGGGCTATTATTGGCACTTCAAAAATCTCATTGTCCACTCTTCACAAGTATACTGTTTCTTTCTACATATAGAAAGTTTGGAGTGGACAATGAGATTTCTGGAGTGCCAATAACAGCTCCCTTTCCTTTTTCAACAGCAGCTAATAGGTTGTGGTGAACTTTGTCTTGTTTCACCCAAAAAAAAAAACAAAAAAAAACAAAAAAAAAAAAAAACCTTCTAAATTATTTGTTGGTGAAAAATATTCTAATATGTTCTTTGTGCATGCTGACTGAAGGTGGTTTGGACCCATCTCGTAGAAGGTCTCTCTTTACCCTGGCCTCGTACATGCTTATATTTTCAGCCCGGGCTGGTGACCTCCCAGAGCTAATTCCAATTTTCAAAGCATCTATGACAGATAGAATGGTTAATTTCTAGATCTTAACTCTCAGACTATGCCCTTTCATTTTAACATAATTAGTTGATATACATGTATCATGTATGTATCCTTTTCGAGCTTGACGTTTTGTCAATTTTTTGAATTTTTTAAAAATTTACAGGTTGATCCCGGTCTTCAGTTAGTTGATGGTATCTGGCTGCAGGCAGTTTCTATTGAATCTGATAAGGAGAGGATATCTTATGGATCATTGCGGGAAGATGAAGTGGCTGCATTGAAGTCTCTGTCAGCAGTTGAATTAGATGACCAGCTACTAAGAGAAACTGTGATATCCCACTTCATGATTAAATTTGCAAAATTGTCTGAGGTGATATTCTTGTTTTCTAATATAATCTCCAAAGAAATGCTTTTAGCGCAACTAGCTAATTGTTGGCTTCATGAAATGTCTAACAAAGTAACAGAAATTGTGATCCCTACGTCAGGACCCCCATAATGCAGTTTATATCATCAAGATATAGTTGTTTTTCCTAGTGGTGCTGAAACTTGAAGCATTTGGTTAAGGATAAATTATCCATGGTTTGACCAGATATTCATAGTCATACCCTTCTCCCTTAAATTGTTAATAATTTAAATACAATACTAACTTTCTTAGAATTACTTCATATTTGTCTCTCTAATACATTTACACTCCCCATGAATGGATGCAGCCCTAGCTTTTTCATTGTATTAACATTTTGTTTTAACTCTCTTCTCTCAAAGGTTGAGTTGTCTAGCATCAAGAAGGAACTCTTACAAGGATTTTCACCTGATGATTCATTTCCTTTAGGAGCTCCGCTATTCATGGAGACACCACGACCATGTTCTCCTCTTGCCCAGATAGATTTTCCTGAATTTGATGAGGTTCAGTTTCATATGTTTGTATCTCTATATTCATGTCTAGCATTCAAATATGTTGCATGACAGAGGGGGTTTTCTCTCAGGTGATGCCTCCAGGTTCATTGACAGATGATGAAGCCTACCCTGAACCAAGTGGAAGTCAGTCAGACCGCAAATCATCACTCTCCATCAATACACTTGACATTCTAAGCGTTAATCAGCTCCTGGATTCAGTAAGACAAGATTCTTGTTTATTATCTTTCACCTATGAAATTTATGTTTAGGCCATTCGCTATGCTGCATGTTTAGTGGCAAAGAGCAAGATAATTGACTTTAAGTTGGTGCAGTCGTTTCGTTGTCCTCCCCCCCTCTCTTCATTTTGTTAGAAAGAGTTTGAGAAAATGGACACAGATTGCAAATTGCATTCTGTGCAATTTTTCTGACGAATTGGAGAAGTTTGGGACAAGGGAACAACAAAACAAATCAGCTCTTTCCAAAATCTGATTGAGTATATTCTCACCTGATAAAGTTTTGAAAATTAGCTAGAATTAACAGCATGATCTTTATGCTGGAAAACACCTAAGGGGTACGCTTACGATCTATAACAATATTGGCTTGTCTGACTACCAGGTTCTGGAAACAGCACGAGAAGTTGCAAGCAACCCAGTTTCCACAACACCGATACCTTATGACCAAATGAAGAGTCAATGTGAAGCCCTTGTAACAGGTAAACAACAGAAGATGGCAGTTCTTCATAGTTTCAAGCAAGCAGACACCATGGCGATAGTCCTCTCCAGTGAAAGTGAAAATACATGCCACACGTTATCAACCACGGTTAGTAAATATGTCATTATGATTTTAATTTGTTACTGAACTTATTAACCAGCTAATATATTTCAGATCTAACTCCATATATTCTCCTTTCCTCTAAAAAAGAAAATTATTACGAATATTCCTCATGAGGTTTAAAAGAGTTAATTATTGCATTGATGACTGTGGTGATGACGATAACAGCAATATGACAGCCATGATACTTAGACGTTCCCTCAAGCTGACTTCTACTGAGGTTATGATTTCAGCATCACAGATTTTGATGTGTAAAAATAATGGCTCGGTTTCAAAGTGACTTTTCCCTATCTGAATGTGACTTGTACTCGTATCACATGGCAAGGAGTAACTCATGTCCTTATTGGAACTATAATAATAATGTGCCTTAAATTGGACAGTGATATATACGGTGGTCTACAGTCGATAGATATGCAAATGTGTAATAGAATACAGCTGAATGATAGACGGGAACTAACACACTTTTGAATTGTTCTTTCTCTGGGTCTGGTTTGTTTTGTTCGGTATGTTGTGCTCTCCTTTCTTCTGTTTTGGTTTGTTGTGACTCTTTGGGTTTCTTTCAGGCGACGGAATTTTCAGAAGGGGATCTAAAGTTGACAAACAATGATCAAATTCGAGTACAAAATCAACTTCTCCTCTGCTCGCGTGAGTATGGACAGCATTCTTTCAAACTACCGCCTTCAAGTCCCTATGACAAATTCTTGAAAGCTGCCGGATGCTAATGTCACTAGACGTATCGTATTTCTGTATGTAACTGTAGTACATTGTCCCTTATTATCTTTATGTTCCTCGTGAAAAGTCGGGTATTTGTTCATTCTTTAGCATCAATTAAATCAATATTAAGTTTTGTATCGAAGCTCGCTACCTTTCATGTTCAAATGTAAGAAATGAGCGGTGAGGGACGTGTTGGTGGAAAAGGGAGTTTTCTTTCACAAGACAGTATTATGTTGTGTAATTTGAGGCCACATGTTAATGTATGTCGATCTTCATCCAGTTTGGTTTATAAATTTGGACAATCTTGTGTGTAAATTGTTTTGTGAAACGTTGTTCAAATATTTTTTATATAAAAAAATTTACAGCTTGCCCTCCCCTGACGGAGCCAACCCTCCCGGTATGCCGGAAACTGGTCTTCAACGCCGGCAATTGGCATCTAATGTTGAAATAGGCCTTTGATGCCAGCAATCCTCCCAACGGTCCTCCGCATGCAGAGACTCTCGCACATAATTTTCAATACCTATCCTCCATGAGATGTGATCTAACAAAGCGGAGACTTTGTGCCGTTAGGTACCGTTTGGTATGTGGGATGGAACGGAGTGGGACGAGGCGTTTTGTCCCACGTTTCTTGCGCCTCAAACAGGTGGAACGAGCTGTTCCATGAGACGAGTTTTGGGTGAATTTTCGTTCCGCCTCATCCCTCTGGAACGACTCGTTCCACATCCGTGGAACACAATTATAACCTCTCCGTCACCTTCTTCTTCCTCCTTGTTTCCATCCGAGGGCATCTTTGCTCCCTCTCCTTTCCGTCTTGTCTTGTCCCATTCCATTCCATCTCGTCCCGTCTGCATACCAAACGATACCTTAACGTCGTAGAACAAACAAAATATTTAATGTTATTTGAAAATATGTAGCTTTGATTTTCTCAAGAGGATGTTCTTATTGAATGGTCAAACAACATATAGCCACTATGGGAATGGATGCCTTCCAGTTTGAATTGGTTTTACACTCAAGCACAAGAACAACTTACATAGAACAGATTTATTATTACCGTGGCATATGACGTCCCATGTATAATCCGCTTGAAAATTAGAGTGTCTAGAATTTCTCTGATTTCTTGGCAATCGAGTTTTACATGAGTGTGATCTTTATACAAGTACAAGTATCGTATTCCAGGCAAGTTTATACAGCATATCGGTTGCATAATCTCACTGATACGATTCTACAAATAAGGTGATAATGATCGTATGATAAAGGGACTGATTTTATTTTATTTTTGTTAATATACACAACTTGCTAATGCAATTTAAAATCATAAGTAGACTTCTAAACGTTTTGCTAATATGTGCATCAAAAGTCAATAATATATGTTTTATATAAAGCTCCACAACTTGGCATGACCATGTTTGATATTTACGCACCAACTATGACAAGTGGTCTAGTAGGAAAAAGCGAAAAACAACTCTAAAGACAAAAAGGGAGGTCCTAGATTCAATACTTTATAAGCTATGAATCTGCTTGATCGTGCCCACATGTGCAATTCCCAACTAACCTTCTCCGAACCCGAAAAGAATGGATAATCATGGTTCGTCACCAAGCCAATTCAGAAATATTTAAGACATCTAATTGGGTTCAAAAAAATTAACGAATGCTTTGTTATATAAGAAACAATGAAATTTTATCTTGATAATCAAATAGGCAAATGATTTTGGATTAAATTGAATTTTTGCAAGGATGATCTATGAATTGAGACTTACAAACTAGACGGTTCGGATCGCTGAAATTCGATGTAAAGTGAACCCCACATCTAGTCCCCATTAAAAAAAAAGTCCCCTTCCATAAATAGCCTGTATATATATATTTCCTTTCCAGAGGTGGATTGTCTGTCCTCCTATTTCCATACTCTTCTTATCTCTTCATGTTTGTGTGGTAACGGTTAAGTCACGTCACCATTTTATATTGATTTTTTTATAAAAATAATAAAACAAAAAATAATAGGAATATAAAATATTGACGTGGCTTAACCGTGACCACACAAAACATGAGGGGATAGAAAAAGTAAAGAAATGGGAGGCAGACAATCCACCTCCTTTCCTTTCCTAAACCGTCTGATGTGATCTAAAACGTCTTGCTAGATGGACCTCTCTGGCTAGACGTACAATATCCTAAAAAGATTCCACCGAAAAAAAACAATATCCTAAAGAGTAACTATTCATGGCCAAACAACACAAATCTCCCTAACAATAGATAAAATGGCTTAATTGTCGCATCTAGGTGCCTTCTTTTTTTATGTTTTTTTTTAATTTTCATTCCTCACTCCTTTTTTTTTCTTCCCTTTTTTTGAAATGTATCTTCGTTGTTTAGTAGTAATTATTGAAAATCTTAAGTTCAACCCTTGAAGATAAATTTGATACCAAATACATGTTTGGCCCATTACGTGACTTAATCAAACCCCACATCCCTTAACGCAAGTATTTTGTTGTGTTTAAAAACATAATTTTTCTCAAAAAAAAAAAAAGTTTCTTATTATTTGGGTTCATTTCGAATGCTTATCCAGCAAAAACTTTCTCATCCACATCAACATTCGTTTGTCATGCAAAGCTCCCACTCTACTTGTTTCTTAATGCATGGCAAAAGAACACTTGTCTTCATTTTTCTTTCTTGAAAATGGATGACGATCCTAGGAATCTTTACATTTTGTCCGTTCATAGTATTGTGCGGTAGTTTTCGTTATGTACTGTTTGTGTTTAATTTTAAATAAAAATATTCAAAATGATTTATAACTGCACGAAGTACAATGAAATGATAAGATATGATGATTTTCATAAAAAGAATCCGGATGGAACCAAATCGAGAAACCTTGGCAATAGATTTAAATCTAGGTGACTTTTTCTTCTTATGCTTTCACTCCACATTTAATTAAATTTGTTTCTTAATGCATTGCTAAATGACACTTGTTTTCATTTTTCAGTTTGAAGCCCATGCAATAGATAGAATGGTTTAATTATCATAAGTATCTTGATTAATCATACTAACAAACCCTTGAATTCTAACGCTAGCCGCTATCTAAAGAGAAAAACAGAAAGAAAGAAAAACCCTTAGCCATCGACCCTGGTCATTAGCATTACGAGTGAGCATAGGGTGGGTTGGTCGGGTTGGACTTTAACCAATAGGTTCGGTTTGAATTACTAAAACCTATTTTCTCCTAAGAAAATGGGTAAATCAACCCACCAAAACCATTCCAAGGCGGGTTCCACGAGTTGAGAGTAGTTTTTTTATTCCTGAAGTGAGTATGAATGAAGAATAATCCAAATTATGTCATATTACGCTTAAATCATGTGATTTTAGTGTTGAAGAACATTAGGTGTTACTTAATATTTAAATTTTATTATTAAAATAAAGTATAAATAAACATGGGTAATTAATAACTACTATATTGTATGCATATATACACATGTGGATTAAGAATTGTTGGTGTTCGGTAGGTTAGTAAATACATTAAAGTGCCCACCCCTAGTTGGCATTGAGGTCAGTGGCGATCCTTCTTGATCTATTTCCTCTTTTTCTTTACATGTTTCTTCTATCTTCAAATCATCTTTACCTCCGGTTGTAATCGTTCTTTGCTCTAGCGAGAAGAGTCTTTGTGGTTGTGGTCGCTCTCTCGCTCTGTAGAGGAGAGTCTTTGTGTTGTCTATAAATTAGAGATCAAACTTAGGTCATGGGGCAACGACCATTCTTTAGAGTTAAGGTTGGTTTTTATTTTGGTTCTGGTTTGTGCGTATGAGAATGGACTATAAGGAGGAAGCTCAATGTGAGGTGACTCATAATAGTGTTTTTTTTTTGCTGAAGATCATTAGAGGGTAGTGAAGTGTTTTCCTCGTTATGCCGTTACATTGGTTCTAGTTCTTGTGAGTGTTATCTTGTTAATGTGGGTGTTCTGCGGTTGATAAATTGTATTGTATTGAGTTTGTAACTGTGAATTGTTTTTTACCAAAATTTTCATTTGTAAACTTTTTTTTTTTCCAACTCTCCCCGCTCCTCAATGTAAATATTTTGTTGTATTAACAAAAATAGTTTTTTACTGCAAACCATTATTGGCACTTTGCATCCACATTCGATATTCATTGCTTTGCACAGCTTCCACTCCACTATCTTTTCGAATTTGTTTCTTAATGCATGGCACAAGGGCTGATTTCGGTTTGGTAACCAAACCAAAAAATGCAAGACAAAACCGAACTGAAATTTATGGTAAACCAAAATTCAAAAATTGGATCGGTTTCTCTTCATTATTACTTTATTTTATTTTTTTCATAACTTCTATCATCACAAGGTAGCATGTGCAAAAATTGTTAGTTATGTCTGTAAGAAAAGCTGCGATGTGGTAGATTGAAGAAAGAAATGAATTAAGAAATTATTGATGAAAAAGGCGAAATTTAAAGAAATACAAAGTTCAACTGAAACTGTTGCTCTTGCATCGAAAAGTGCAAGGTTTTGATGGTAATAGAGTAAAAAAAATATAAAAGTACCGATATCCAAAAGAATCGAAACAATTTCCCAAATTTTCCTCCAAAGGAAAAAAGTTGAGAGCAAACCATAAAAAAATAGAAAAACTAATGAAAATGGTTTGAAAATTTTAAGTTTTAACAACAAAATAAAGGGTAAAGTAAATAATACCGGTTTGACTTTTTAGTGTAAAAGTATGATTTTTCATTAAAATGAACAGGAACGTTTCGTTAAAACTTCCTAAAAAAATCAATACATCCAGACGGGCCCTACTAACATCCACAGAGAATGATAATGTAAGTTTCAAAACCTCACAAAATATTCTGAAAACATAGAAAATCTCAAGGGTATTAGTGCAAAGAAGTAAATAATAAAAAAACCCCCTCTCCCTCCCTCTCCTTCTCTACTCTGTTGTGCATACAAAACCCTAGACACTACTAATTCACCGCACCTTCCTCCTTAAATTCCTTTCCTTTCAGACACCAAAAATGAAATTAATTAATTAAATTAAATTAAATTCACAGTTTCCTTCTCCAATTACTTCCCAAAATTTCCCCGTTCTTTCCATTTTCTGCATTTATATAAAAATTGAAATTTAATTTTTATATAAATGCATAAGCGATCTGGTGGGACGGCCCCGGAGCCGGTGCGGACGAGCGGAAGGCTGAAGGGGCGGACGACGCCGTACGGGCGGGGCATATACTACTACACCACAAGCACTTCCAGGAAGATCATCCAAAAGCGGAGAAACCGGAAGAACAAGACCAAGACCCGAACCGCCGCTTCCCATATCGCTAAGATAATGCGCCATG